CGGCGGAGGGCGCATGAGACGCTGGCGAGAACTAAAGCGATTCTGGGAGTCAGGGTGGGATTCGGGGTCCGAGTGACGCCATTTCTAGTTTACCCACCTCTGGTACCTGTTACCAGTCTGGGCTGGGCTCCTCTTAAGCCGTGAAGGCGCAGTTGGGTATTGCTGGCGCTCCGTCTTTTTATTTCTACGTTTATCAGTAGTGCATTAAAAAAAGAAAAAAGAGAGAAGAGATGAACTTTGTAACTGGGGCAGCGGCGCAGCCCGGTTGCGCCAAGGTGGGGATCTGGGAACATCCCCTCGGACGGGGTGTTTTAACTTGTGGCTTAGAACTGCCTGGGAGAGACTTAGGCATAGCTACCTGTTCAGGGCGAAAAACGTGCTGAACGGAGCACAACCCTGGCTCCTTTGTTGGTGCGTTTTTGTTGTATCTGGAGCATGGTATCACTCTGAATGGTAAGCTCCTTGGGAAGTAGTTCTCCTATCAAATGATGCCTTTCAGCTTTGACAAAGTTGCCTTTTCAAGGCTTTATTGTGTTTTTCTTGAGTCAGAGTAGTCTAGGGATCTCTTTTTTTCTTTTTTTTTTTTTCCCCTCCCCAGAAGAAAACGCTCTTTACCATCACTTGGGGTCTTTTGGAACATAAATTGATATAGAATGAGGTTTTGTCTACAGTTTTCCAGGAATTGCTGTAACTCATTCTGTCGTTAAATGAACATGCATACTGTTAGCAACTTTCCTATGCAAATGAAAGCACATTTAAATGCTGTGTAAATGCAGCCATTTGCTAGTAGAGTGATATTAGTTAATTATATCTTCAGTGAATTAAGGCTGGCTAATGAATGGGAGCATCTATAAAGGCATTTAAATGTGCTTTACCTTGTATGGTTTATGTTCACAATTTCAGTTAAAACCCCTACCTAAAATCCTATTTGTGTGTGTGCATGTGCAGTCACAGTCGCAACTGCAGTGTTGCTTCATTCGGACCCCTGAAAAGAACAAACTTGCTTCCCTCCAGCCTGGAGTCATGCAGTCCCACAAAGACTGTTGCTTACACTTTCGTTAAGTAGAGAGCAGACTGGCTAAAACTCATATAAGTAATGGCAAGGCTAATTTAATTCTCCCTCTTGAGCACTAAGCATACTTTATCCAGAAGATATGATATGTTTTCCTGCTGTAGACCAGTACTATAATGTCACTGCACATTTTTAACAAGAACGTCTTGATTACTGCTTAAATCTCTTTTAACTACAAATCCTGTCAGATTCAGACCATAAGCATTCTGCTGTTCTGTAACCTTCACACATAGCTCTTTATTTCTGTGCCCGGTTCAATTACTGAAAAAGGTCATTATCCTGCTAAAATATTCCACTTTAGATTGCTAACATGTAGATCCCTCTGGCTAGATCAATCTGTATCTAGACGTAAATTTATCTAAAGGAAACAGCCCTTTTCCAGGGCTGATCTCTTTCTTAGGAGAATCCTACCTAAAACTGATTTCTGCTAATGAGATTAGAATGCAATTATATAGTGTGATATATGACCGTGATCTTTGGATCACGTAGCAGCTGTGTCAGCAGCACTGAGCAGGCACACAAGTTGTACCGTTCCAGCCCTAACGCCTTCTATGTGCTGGCAAGTGGCCTTGTCCTATACAGGTAATAAAGCCTGGGCTTCTGCTCCCTTCCTGTTACAAAAGTAACAGTTGTCTGTTAAAGTGAAAGTTTAAGTTGCGTTAAAATGAAAGTTTAAGTTGGTTCTTGTCACTGTCAAGATACGTTGCATGGTCTTTATCAGGAGAACTTGCAGAGGCTCAAGCAGCACTTAACTACTTAACGTGGTTAAGTACGTTATGCCTATGGAGAAAATTTTCGGCTCTGTCCCAGCTCACCCAGACCACGCTTCGCAGTGCAAGTCTGAACTGCATACACTCCTGTTCAGTTCTGCGTGACTTCGGCTGTGTGATCTGTAAGGAGGTTTGAGTCTCTTCTGCAACCAACCTCTGATAAATCCTCTTACACAGTCTTTATTCTCAGAGGGCTCTTGGGCAGAAGAGGTTTTCCAAGCTGAGAATATGGCCACTTCTTGTCGGCTTGTTCATATTCTGAGTGCTTACGTAAAGTACTTCAAGTTCTGTTTCTGGTTTGCGCTCTCATCCTGGAGAATGTACTATGACAGCAATAACATTTTATTTTTTCTGCATTGTGCTCACTGAAGGAGAAGCTCAGCTGAATAACTAGAACCTTATAATCTCAAGAACAATTTCTATATCATGATTACATTTGTGTGCCCACTAGCATGACCTTCATATTGCTCTTTGTGCATCGTAAACATGGAGACCCCCAGGCAGAATCCTCTTTTTTAACAGTTATTTTGCCACTTGCAGGAGCAGAATGTTGTTACTGAAACAAAATCCTGAAAGACTGGTCAAATTTTGCTGATGTAGTGTGATGTTTTTAGTGTCACACCTGTGTTTAGTTATATTTGCATGGTAGAAGCCCTGTTATTTTTTTAGGAATGTGCAGTTAGCATTGAGGCACTTGTTTCTGCTGAGGTACAGTGGGTTCATATGGTGACTCTGTACTGCATTGCCTTGAGGCGGGAGACACTTCTCCTTTGCTGTGTATTTGCAGATAGGCAGAAAACCTTTAAATGGTAGTGTGGGGTTTTTTTTTCCCTTTTCTTCCTTCCTTTGTATTTCCTGTCTTGCTTCAGAAAGGAAAAACCTGTTATTAACATACATTTTTTGGATTCCCAGGGTAAAGCCCTGGATTTTGTGCTGCTAAGCCCTGCTTTGGCTTAGCTGTAAGGGAGAGCCAACATCAACCCGCTCTAGCAGTGGGCAGGCAGCGTACAGCAGTTCTGCTGTTCTCCATGGCTGCACGTCATGCTAGTGTCAGTTCTTCCTCTAGAGGGAAAGCTGCATCGTCACAGAACAGTTCTGTCAAAATAAGCTAAATCCATTAGATAACTGAAAGAGAGACTGCCGGGCACTTTGTTTCTCCACACAAATCTAAATTATATTCTGCTCACAGATTTTTGCCAGTGTTTGCATAAGTGTACTGATAAATTAAAGAACACTTTGTGTTTAACGTGAAACTTTTTGTTTTTTTCCAGAAGTGGTTGGCTGTGAAGGCGTCAAACAGAATGGAAGAAGGCTTGCGGTTAGTCAGAACCAGAGCCATGGCAGCGCCGATAAAAGCGCTCCCAGGTGCGGTATCTCTCAATTCTTGTGGAGGTTTGGTGAAGCAGCTGAAGGGAGAGTTGGGCACATCAGCCCTTTAGTTTAGTGAGCAGTGGAAGTGGTGGCAACATTTCTTTGCCTGTTTAGCTATGCCTCCCACCCACAGAGGATCTCTATATAGTGACAGTAAATATATTTAGCACCAAAGTTCTGAGTACTTCTGGGTGACTGTATACGGATGGAATGAAGTGCAGTGGGCAAAATGTTGATACTTTGATGTCTAGAGGAAGAAAAAGAAAGTGTAGAGAGCTTTTTGTCCGGTCTTTCTGGTTTTCAGCTGGAAACCGAGTGGGGAAGTTGGTCTCTCTGGTGCCAGTGTGTGAGGTTTGTGCACACACCAGTGCTCGAGCAATCTTGCAGCTGCCTTATCTAGTTCCATCTGCCGGCAACCGTTTCGGTTGCTGTCCCCAGAAGGGGTGGGATCTAGAGCAGAAGTCGGCAACTTTTTCAGAAGAGAATCTTCAAATTTTAGTTAAAGGAAAAAGTTCAGCATAAGGATGCTGTCAAAACTTCAGTGGGAATTTCAGCACAGACAGTCCTGCTAGTCCCCTATTTGGGCATATTTTTGCTGCTTAGTGGGACAGGACCCACTAGCGTTGTTTATTTTGAATTCAGAGAGCTTTGGCTTAGGGCCACAGTGTCTCATAGATACACTCTTAAAATGTTCAGTTTCATTTTCCAGTTCCCAGGACTTTGTGGACCCTGCTGCATACCCTTCAAAGTCTTGTCTGTGTGCTGTCCTTGGCGCTGGTGTGCAGGTTGTTGACCTTAAATTTATACCATCCATTTGCTTGTGGGAACTCCCAAGCTGTGACATTATTACTGTTGCAAAAGGAGTTTGCAGAGCCGTGAGGTACTAAATAAAACCACCTCTACCTCCACCCGCTCTGTGCTGCCTCCTTTCTAGGCAGAGCCGGGAGTTTTCCACCAGAAGGCTTTTTAAACAGTTTTTTATTCTGCTGCTGAGGTCAGAAGGGCTGAACAGAGGCAGTGGGAGATGAGATTTGCATCTCCTTGCTCCAGTGAGCAGGAAAGGTGTACAGGTTTTATATCGATGTCCAGGTGTGAGTAAGGCCGGCTCTGAACCAACAGGCTGCACCAGGTTAGTGATAACCGTTTGTTATTTCAGTTAGTTAAACTGGTTTTATCTAGACACCTGAACTGTTCTAAGAAATGCTCATTTCAGTCTTGTTTGCTTGTCCCAAACATTGATTATCTATCTTTAGTGAAACAGGTAAGTGCGAATCAAGTCCTTGTGGCAGAAATAAGCTTATTAGGGGGTGTGTATATCCTGGGTTTCATCGTGCAGTTTTGCTTTCGTTTGCAGGCAGAACAAACTCAAACCTGAAGTGACAACTGAAATGGTACACTCCTCCAGCATAATGGTTTCAAACAAGGCTTCAATCTTATCAGAACCAAAGTTTGGACTAAGAGATACTATTGTTAAATCTCAACTTGTACAAATGGAGGATTCCTACACACACATCCAGAGCTTCAGGTAATGTTCATTCCTGAGAAGAACTTACTTTTGCAGGGAGTAAGTTAGTTAGCATAAGCTAGTATCCCTGCAAATAGGAAATTTTGTAGAAAAGTATGATCCATACTTCCCAGAACAGCTTTCTTTCCTCGTTTAGGCATTAGCAGAGAAGAATTTCATTCATGTCTCTGTGAAGGCGTGCCTCATGGTTGTTGAGAAAATGGCCTTTTTGAAGTTATGTTTTCCTGTGTTTATTTCAGACTGTGTCTGGAAAAACATCCATTCAGTACACCTCTGGCCTTCTCTGTCACTGCTTCTGTTCACTGCTTATCAATGTATTGTTCCAATAAGCTCATAAGGGCTTGGGTGAAATATATAATTAGGACCAAAACTTTACTGTGGTTGAAATCCTTTTCTGCATGTCATTCCATGAATTTATCATTTCAAACTGCTACTACACAGCTCTAGTCTCTTTTTTTTTTTATGCTATATGTAAAAATGTGTATCCTTCTGTAAAACATATCTTTAAAGATGCTACTGTAATTAAGTCATTTTAGGGATTTAAACCTTGTCACATTTTCCTATTTAGCCCCTGGAAACATTAGGAAACATTTACTCCTAAATAGTTATATGTCGTATTAAGAACATAGGTTAATAATAGTGGTACTTCCATCAGCTCTACAATTTGCAGCTCTACCATTTAGTTAATTTCTTTGCAGATTTTTTGTTGGGACATATAACGTGAACGGTCAGTCCCCCAGAGAAAGCCTCCAACCTTGGCTGAGATGTGATGCTGAGCCTCCAGACATTTACTGCGTGGGGTGAGTCTCCTTCTGGCCCGTCCTTCCAAACCTTGACTGCGGGTTGCTTGCTTGTAAATCTGCAGCACGGAGGTGTTCGGCCAAGACACCACAGCTGAGGAATGTTTGCGTTGCCTTACTCCATTGCACAGCTTTAGAGTGTTTGTTTGTGTAGCCTGAAAAGGCTGTTATTCTCATAGTGTTTGGACTCTCTGGCATTGCAGTGTTACAAAATGCCATTCAATTTAATACTAATAGTAATTTAGGTTTACATTTAATATGCCTCTAAAATCAGCATAACTGAATTTGAGTTTTCAGTTATAAATTTAGTGAGTATAAATTGATTTAGTTCTTTCTCAGAGGAAAGGATTGGAGAGTTATAAACAAGTGCATGCATCCATGGGTTCCTTCCTCTAACACAGTTTCCAGGAGCTTGATCTGAGTAAAGAAGCCTTCTTTTTCAATGACACACCGAAGGAAGAAGAATGGTTTAAAGCTGTAACTGATAGTCTTCACCCAGATGCCAAATATGCAAAGGTAAATGTGGCTTTTGGGGAGGTTTGAGTGTGGAATGATTTTCCACTTGGGCCTCTTTTCCCTTTGCTTTCTTCAATTGCTGTGTCTTCCAAAGGCTCATTGTCTGCAGGCTTTTGCTCAATCAGAAGTGCTCTGAAGGTGAAGTAGGTAGTGTTGCTGTGCAGGGTGCCAAGGCAGGGAGCAGGACAGGAGACCAGAGCTAAGTATCCACGCATAAAGGAAGCTCCTGCTATCTTGGGGGAAGAGAATAGGAAGTATCTTAGCTTCTTCCATGTCTGTCTCCACAATGCAAGGTGGAATGAGTTGTGAAGTTATCTTGGTAGGAATACTACTTATGTTTTGGCTCCTGCTCCTTAGGTCTGCTTTGTCTCCTGTCACTGTTGTTGAAGGGAAGCTCCTTCTGTGGGCTGTGTCTGTGCTGTAGGTTTTGCTTTTGGCTTCAACCTGGGATGTTGGTCCTTAGCTCCTTCCTCTGCTGTGCTGCTGGAGTGCCTGTGTACTGTGAGCCCAACTGGTCCACCCGATGAGTCTGGAACTCTCTTTTTCTTCATCTGTGTTTTGGTGACTCATGTTCTGGTCTGGGGGGTGATGTGTCTTCTCTCGTCAGACCTCTCCCATTCTAGTATTTAATGGAACAGAATCTGTTTTTCAGGTGAAACTTGTGCGGCTCGTGGGAATCATGCTTCTGTTGTATGTGAAAGCAGACCTTGCTTTGAACATCTCCGAGGTGGAAATTGAGACTGTGGGAACTGGAATCATGGGGAGGATGGTAAGAATGGCAACTGTGCATGAGAAGGGGTGAGATTTAGAAGAGTTCTGGAGAGCCCCTCTCCTTAGATGTAGTGGTTATTCCTCCAACTAAGCTTGCAGCTGCCTTTAGAAGCACATAGTTCTGTCCCTGTGGCAGCTCAGGGCATTGCTAGAGGGAATTGCCATGTGCTCGCAAAGGCTCGAAGACCTTCAGTCTTCTCTGAAGCTTTTTTTTTTTCTGATCGCATGTGCAGGGCTGTGTGGGGCCTTGCTGTCATGTATTTGTGATGCTGGCTGTGATTTTGCCCAAAGCAAATAACACAAACAAACATGAGCAGAAGAAACATGTCTACCCACATTAGTTTTCCTGAGGAAGACTTCCAGGCCTCTTGCCATTCCACACCACTGGAATTAAGTCTGTGGCCTTTGAATGTAGTTTCTGTGAACATTGCAGCTATAACTTGTCAAAGGTCTTTTGACGAGCTAAGTCACGTGCTTCCTCCTCTGTTTACAATTTTTTTATGGTTTGTGTTGAAAGATGTAGTTTGTTGCTAAATAGGTTTTGGGACTTGCTGAAAGTAACTGACCAGCTCTCTTACTGATTTTAATTTCCTTTGGTATTAGCTAATTCCTGAATTACAAACTGAGATCCATGTGCATGCTTGCTGTGTTCTGTTGCTATGTGCAACCCTTACATGAGTTACTGACTTGAATTCATGAACTATTTATCAGTAATTGGCATTTTCAGCCTTTTTCTTCCTTTGGAATTAAATGGTCTGCCTCAATGTCTTCTGGCTTGTCCACTGCTAGTAACTCATTTGTGGATTCATCTGTTGTGTAGAAGCTTCTGGCCAACGTCTTTGTCTTTATCTTTCAGGGTAATAAAGGTGGTGTTGCCATAAGGTTTAAATTCCATAACACTAGTGTGTGCATTGTGAATTCTCACCTTGCGGCTCACGCAGAGGAATATGAGCGGAGGAACCAGGACTTCAAAGACATCTGCTCTCGGATGCAATTCTGCCAATCAGATCCAAATTTGCCTCCTCTCACTATTGGCAAACATGAGTATGCTTCCTGTCTTGAGTGTGTGAATCACTGCATGTGGCAAGGAAGAACCTTATGAACATAGTGGGGTGTTCAGGTTCTCTTAGCAGGGATGTGAGAAGAGGTGCCCGGTGATCTAATTGTCAGCCTGAAGGGCCAGAAATGCTTTACTGTAACCCTGGTTTTGAAAGTGGTCGCCTGTACATTTCTGACAACTCACTTGCTGCCTTATGCTCTGCCAGGCCTTGTTTTATTTTCAAGCATGAAGTCAGAATCGGACAATAATATGCATTGATTTCCCCAATGGGTTGTGGGATTTAGTCAGCGTGGAATATTAAAAGCACCAGTTATTCAGAGGTAGTGACAAACATGCAGAATGGGATTTAAAAACAGCAAAGGTGGAAAATGCAGCTTCTCTTTCAAGTTTTCTCTCTTACTTATCCTCTCTGATGGAGAAGCAGACACAGCATGCTTGCATTAGATGGTTTAAGGCACTGCTGCGGAGCTGTGCTTCCAACTCACGGCCAGCTTGCGTTTTGGGCACCTTTAGGCCTCTGTGCGGACTTCTGGTGTATGTTCTCTTTCAGTGTGATCTTATGGTTGGGTGACCTGAACTATCGGCTGGAGGAACTGGATGTGGGAACAGTGAAGCAGCTTGTAGATGAGAAAGCATTTCTAGACCTTTGCCAATATGACCAGGTACTGATGTCTCGCCCGCCTGCAGGTGGTGCTGAGGGTGCTAGTTAGAAACTGCACGCGTACTCCTTAGCCTTCCCAGTGCTGGACATCTCCCTTTTAGCTCATACAGGAACTGTGCCTGAGCTTATTTAAAATTAAATTTTTTGTCTTTTTTTTCTTTCATAGCTGAAGAGGCAAATGAATGCAAATGCAGTCTTTGAAGGCTTTACAGAGGGAGAGATTTCCTTCCAGCCAACATACAAATATGATGCTGGCTGTGATGACTGGGACACAAGGTACAATGATTGCATCATATGTGATGCTACCAATGGCTAATGTGATCATTGAAGGAAGTAAAAACAAGATAAAAAGACTTGCAGATCTACTGGCTATAAATAGGAACAGTTTTGAGACTACTGCTGTTCCTCTCCCTTGGATCCAAAATCCATGTTGTTTTTCTTCCACTGCTATTTGTCAGATATTCCTAATCTTTTCCCAGGAATAATCCAGTGGGTTTCCTTGTTAGTTAGAGGTGTACAAAATTAAGGAATCATTTTAGTTAGCTTCCTTCTTTTTGTTTGGTGGTTTTTTTTTTGTGTGTGTGTGTGTTGTTTGGTTTTTTGTTTGTTTTTTTGTTTGTTTGTTTGTTTGTTTTTTGTTTGTTTTTTTTGTTTGTTTGTTTGTTTGTTTGTTTTTTTTTTTTTTTTTTTCCAAAGCAAAATGTTTAGGATCTTTTATTTGCTGATATCTGCTGAAACTA